CCACGCAAGGATCAAGTGCTCTCTACGGGTTGATTCTTCGACACTCCGTCGCGGCGAATCACCCAAAGCTGCTCACAACTTGAGTTGGGTCACCCACAAGCTCCGCCGGGTGATCACCAAGCTCCCAATCACCACCAAGCCATCTAGGTGATGGCGATCACCAAGAGTAACAAGCACGAACTCTCACTTGACCACGCGAAGCGTAATGAGAAGATGGATGCACACTTGACTACTCTTGATTCACTAATGAGGCTACTCTCTTGGATTCTCAAATCTCAATCACCTCACTAGGACCTTGCTCTTCTTAGCACTCAAAAACGTGTTTCTCAGTTGTTGGAATGAGCAAAAGCCACTCCACACACGAGTGGAGCTTCTATTTAAAAGGCAGCCTGAAAAACGAACCGTTATGAGCTTCTGCGGGGTGACCGGACGCTCCGGTCGTGTTGACCGAACGCTCCGGTCAGTTCAACCCACGAACCAGTAAAAATGTATTGACCAGACGCTGGCAGGGTCCGGTCAACACTGACCGGACGCGTCCCGTCGCATAAAACCCTTACTGGAACCTTACTGGACTCGACCGGACGCTGAACCCTCAGGGTCCGGTCAGTACCGACCGGACACGTCCGGTCGTAGATTTCCTTCACTGGAACCTTTCTGGAGTCGACCGGACGCTGCCTTTCAGCGTCCGATCACTTGACCTCTCCAGCGTCCGGTCACACCGAACGCAGACGTTGATCAAATGAACTGACCGGACCCTGCGGCCAGCGTCCGGTGACACCGGGGCCAGCGTCCGGTTAGTGTTTGACCCTCCATTCACTTCCAACTTCCGAACAAATGTGAATGAAGTTTGCTCCAAAGGATCTTAGGCATTCATAGGAGCTACCTAGAGCTAGTTTTGACAAGTGTGCACCACACCTAACTCACTAGACTCAACTAGGTCAAGCTACCCATCCATACCCCCCTTAATAGTACGGCCAAAGGAAAAATAAAGTCCTAAACTACTCTTAGTGTCTCTCCAACTCCAATTGACACTTAGAACTAGTCATCCTTAACCTTATCGTCCATCCTTTAAAAACCAAAACGATTTCCATCGTAGGGGCATGACAACTTTGATTGCCCAATCGATCTTCATTACCATGACCTAACTTAATTGCCTCTGCAAAACATACATTAGTCATAGTAATCTTATATTGTCATTAATCACCGAAACCCAACTAGAGGCCTAGATGCTTTCAAAGGGTCCGACCTCGGCGAAAAGGGAATCGCCATCCCTAGGGCACGCCGTGGGCGACAAGAGAAAGCCAAGGCCCACAGAGTCCTTCCCTTCGAAAAAAAACTCCGAAGGAGTATGCTACTCCTCCGTAGGCTTGGAGGCTACACCCACCGGGTGCGCTCGCACGCACCCACTGGCAAGTCAAAAAAGCCTCCAAAGGAGTATTCTACTCCTCCGCAGGCTCGGGGGCTACACCCATCAGGTGCGCTCATGCGTACCCATTGGCAAGTCGAAAGATCCCCCAAACGATTCTACTCGAATCGCCCGGGGGCTACTATCGGGGACCAATACTAGGGTACCCGAAGAAGAGAAGTTGATACCCATCAATGCTAATTCATCAGAGCGATCAAGAACGCGACTAGATTTCCCAGTAGGCACCACCTCATCCAAACCACCAAGGCCACAGGCTCCGTTTCGTCCGATCATCCGACCCCCGAGGGTTGGAAACGCCTCAGGCTGACTCTCGAGGGATGGCTCCACCTCGCCCAACATCTGAGAGCTGACTCCGCCTCGCCCGACCCCTGAGGGTTCGCTCCGCCTCGCTTGATGTCTGAGAGCTGGCTCCGCCTCGCCCGATCCCCGAGGGTTGGCTCCGCCTCGCCCGATGTCTGAAGGATGGCTCCGCCTCGCTCGATGTCTGAGGACTGGCTCCACTTCGCCCAACGTCTGAAGGATGGCTCTGCCTCACCCGACGTCTGAGGACTGGCTCCGCTTCGCCCGATCCCTGAGGGTTGGCTCCGCCTCACTCGACGTCTGAGGACTGGCTCTGCTTCGCCCGATTCTCGAGGGTTGGCTCCGCCTCACCCGACGTCGGAAGGATGGCTTCGCCTCGCCTGACCCCCGAGTGATGGCCCTGCCTCGCCCGACCCCCGAGGGGTGGCTCCGCCTCGCCCGACGTCTGCGCGCGACTCCTTCCTAACGACGCGCGCAGATAAGGCAGGGCACTCAAGTCAACCGCAATATCGAGGACCATACCTTACACACATGTAGGAAAGTACCACTAGGATATGACAAGAAGGGCACTTTGAGACCTTCTAGGCATGTCAGAGCCCAAACAGTGTTGTAGGCACCGACATATCTTATAGTGTTGTGGGCACCGCCATCTGCCCTCGGGCACGGATCCTGATGGAAGCTCACGACAACCACTACGGTCCAGGAGGAAACTCGCGTCACCTACAAAGAATGGACGACGGTCACAGTCAAGGCTGCGTCGTCTGCTCCCTGTGGCAGGTCATCGATCAAGACTGGTCCGGCCAAGGCCGTCTCACGGAGCGGATGGGACGTGACAACTTGCTGACAATGGCAGTACATGGCATCATCAACGAACAAACGCCCAGCGTGACCCTATCAGGATCAGCGAACATGCACCCCGCGTGGAGTTATCCCTGGCACCGCCTACCCTATCAGCGGGGCCCGCATAGAGGAAAAGGAAGACCCGGCATCTTTGAAAGACCTCCTTTGCCCCTAGTTTTCCTCTTTTCTCCCATCTGTAATCCATGCTCTCCCTTGGCCTATAAAAGGGAAGGCAGGGAACCTCACTAAGGGGATCGACTCAACACATCACGCATCACATCACACATAGCTGAGCAGCAACCAAGCTCTCAGCGCCCATTCGACCCTTCCATCAGACTTGGGATCTGTCCTTCTCTCGTCTGTTTGTAACCCCTACTATGAACTTTTCGGTGCTAATAACACGAGCAGTAGCCACGGACTGGACGTATGGACATTCTGCCTGAACCAGTATAAACCTTGTATCTTTTTAGCACACCATCCGGGTCAGACGCATAATAACACAAATTTACTCATTGGTGTTTACTCAAAACACCGATAGTGGCGCGCCAGGTAGGGGCCTTTATGTGTCCCGACATTAACATTGGGCCACGGATGGCTAGTCACGACATTAGCTAGGTCCCGAGCGCACACGTGTGCTTCGGGGACATAGACTTCATCATCACGGCAGAGGGGGAGCTGGCGCGGGCTCCCGTTGTCGTTCAAACCCTCCACTCCACTAGCCTCAACACGATCACCAAGATGCTCGAGGAGCTATAGGTTTCTAGGGGAGAGCCGTCCTCCCTGGAATACCTCATTCGGAGCGCCCCGACGGTGCTCCCGTTCGGCCTCTACAACACCACAGAGACCGTTGGCCACCTTATGGCACAACGCATGATCTAGTCCCCCATAAACAATGAGTTTGTGGGGATGATCAAACACGTCGTGGAATCTTTCCATGACCTCCTCGTAGAGGAGCCAGAGTCGCCCTCTGGCTCTGACTCCAGCAGGAGAGCCATCACCCCTCTTATGAATGCTTCATGATGGGTACCCCCGAGGGACACGTCGAAAGCGTCCCTGAGGAGGAGGCTACCCCGGTGAACAACCTCGACGACGAGGTCGAGGGGGAGACAGCGGCCCCACCTCGCATGAGGGTGGAGCAGCTGAAAGCCTGACACTGAGAGATCGAAGAAGCGTGGCTCCAGCTCGAGCAGGAATGCGTGGAGCTCGATCGAGAGATCGAGCGCCACGGAGACGGTGGGCGCTCACGCGCCATGGCCCACAACGTGAACCGGAGGATCATCACGGACGATGAAGCCCTCCCTTGCTTCACCCGGGCAAGCCAGAACATCGCCGCTACGGTGGCCTTGCTCCATGGTCTTCTAGAGGTCGCGACGCCCGAGGATCGTCGGGCCCACCATGAGATCCGCACGTTGCTCGAGCGTGCAGCGGCACAATAGGCCGAGAACTCGTTGTCTCGGCGACGCGAGCTCATCGCCTACCAACGCACACTCTTTGAGCGCCCCGGTAGGGACGCGTCGGTCCACCAGGAGCCACAAGGCGATAGGCAGCGCAGTGCGGTCCCGGTGCATCAGCGTCTCGTTTTCCTCTTTTCTCCCATCTGTAATCCATGCTCTCCCTTGGCCTATAAAAGGGAAGGCAGGGAACCTCACTAAGGGGATCGACTCAACACATCACGTATCACATCACACATAGCTGAGCAGCAACTAAGCTCTCAGCGCCCATTCGACCCTTCCATCAGAGACTTAGGATCTGTCCTTCTCTCGTCCGTTTGTAACCCCTACTACGAACTTTTCGGTGCTAATAACACGAGCAGCAGCCACGGACTGGACGTATGGACATTCTGCCTGAACCAGTATAAACCTTGTATCTTTTTAGCACACCATCCGGGCCAGACGCGCAATAACACAAATTTACTCGTTGGTGTTTACTTGAAACACCGACAGTACTGTTCGCTAATTTATCGTGAGAGAAAAACACTATACCATGACTGATAAATCTACTGTACCTTTGATAAGCTATAATATTGTCAGGCGATTTGGATGTCATCTTATCAAGAGAACCCCATATATATATATATTCTTTTTTATTCTACTTGCTCACTGTACCTATTTGTGGGGGTGCTCTGTGTAACTCTGCAGCTCTCCTCATTTTGACTAAGTTTTCTTAAGGCGCACAAATAGACCAGCGAGGTGTTCGTCGCTAGCTAGCGTGGTTGTTTTTTTCTTTTTTCTTTTTTCCACGTCTGCTAAATTCCAGCTCAGCTAGCTCGGAGTTATGCCGTTGACTTGTGGTTTGACCTGGAGTTGAGAGCCCCACATTCATAGTGAAAGAACCGGTGACAGGCTCACAAGTCACAAGACCCCATCTAAACCAACGGCCTTGATCTCTTCACCACTCCTCTTCTCGCACAGCCAACACCTAACAGGCATAGCTCATGTTCCTCCGCCGCCGCCTCCTCTCCACCGCGGCCGCGGCGGCCGCCGCCCGCGGCCCACCGCCGATCCGCGTGTCCCTAACGGAGTCCGCGGGCCGCGGCGTTTTCGCCACCCGCCCAGTCTCCTCTGGCGAGCTCCTCCACTCGGCGCAGCCCCTCGTCTCCCACCCATCCCACTCACTGCTCCACGAGGTGAGGTGACCGCTCCTCCCCGCTCCTTGCCCCTGCCAGTGGAACCAAACCAACTGGACTGTTCTGGGCTCAGGTTTGCTACAGTTGCCTCAGAAGGAAGCCCGGGGAAGGGCGCGTTTCAAGCGGAGGTTACTACTTCTGCAGCGACGCTTGCAGGGACCACGCCAAGGTGGTACCTCTCTGCCCATTTCCTTAGCGATTTTTGCATACCTTCGTGTGTTTCACCTTGGTGCATATTCTTGTGATGCTTAGTCTGCCCTCTTCGACTCACTAACTGTTAGTGGCGAGTGGAATCTGTTCTGTCTACAAGTGTTCATGTCTCAACATTCAGTAGGTTTTAGTATAATAGTGTGTTCGAAGTTCGAACACTATGTGATAGTCGTGTTTCCAGTAATTATTGCGTTTGTGGAAATGCAATTTGGATTCTACCTCGTGGATCTTTGAATGAGACATGTTAATTTTCCTTTACATGTCAGAAACATTGAATAATGCTGCTTATTTGCCTGCCATAGAATAAAATAAAAGAAAGCAAAAATGTTCAGCATTTGAGGCTGGATTTTGCTAACAATACGTGTGATTTCCGCCAATCTAGGGGTTCCATGACATTGACAAGAACGTAGATTGGTCTTTATTCGATTACCACTGCAGGTATGATAGTACTCGCCTTTCATCTTTCTGCAGATGTGCGCCTCTTGACTTCTTCATTTTGTGTTTTTTCTGTTCTAAAGTTCACGTGGTCTAAAGTACCCATACATGGCCAAGCGCCTTGCCTGCATGGTTATATCAGGAGCTGCTAATGCAGATTGTCTTAACATACTTCAGCCAGCTCGGTTGCACCAGGGGACGTTAATTGAGGTAGTGATTCCTCTCCTTCCAGGTCACCCTGAACTCAGTTCTTGTATTATTGTTGTTATTGTCACACCATAATAACACAGTAATCACAAAGTTATTTGGTTCAATGCTTATTGTAGCGATGTTATATTACAGATGGAGGAGGAATTTGAGTTGTTGGAGTCCACTTTTAGAAAAGCTGGGTTTCAGGAAGAAGTCACAAACTGTATCCTTCAAATTTTGTTTCCTCTCATTGCGACTATTCTTAGTTTCTTACAACTGAATGTTGACAAAATTGGGTCTTTCATAGAGTTCTTGTCTCAGCCCTCTTCAAATTTGGTTGTCTTTGACAAAATTAGTTTTGACCATAGATTGGTACATCAATGTATTGGCAAGAATACGCATAAATGCATTTCGTATTGAATTGGTTGCAAGCTCATATGAGGATCTCTTATCCTCAGCGGCAGCCTCCGTATCATGTGATTCATCAGTTGGCAATGCGGTTTATATACTCCCCTCTTTCTACAACCATGACTGCGGTACGCTCTTCATCTATACATTTGGAATGAAATGCATTTTTTTATCATCTTCGCTATTTAAATTTTGTTTTGCTAGCAGTGATTCAGTTGATAGGTTGACCTCAAATTCCAGGATTTGTCACCAACCTTGTGGTATGGTGCTTGTTCACTACTCCCTCTGTCCCTTTTTATCTGTCGTTCTCACTTCCCGAGAAGTCAAACATATTTAAATTTGACTGAATATATAAAATAAAATATTAATATTTATAGTACATAATTAGTATCATTAGATATATCGTTGAATCTATTTTCATAGTAAATTTATTTAGAGATATAAATATTGATAATATTTTCTACAAACTTAGTCAAACTTGAGAAAATTTGACTGGCATGAATCGCACGGCGACACTTAAATAGGGACGGAGGGAGTATGCTACTTGTCGTATCAATATTAGACTATTAGTCTTCTATTGCATTTGATAGTGGATGTCTCTGCTAAACTACTCTCAATATAAGAACATATTTAGTTAAGCTTTTGTATGTATGGTAATGTAATAGTGACAGGAGTATACTATTTGATACAATAGCAGAAAATTTTAGGCTGCTTAATATAACCCTTTTTTCATTATGCATTAATGATTCAAATATGCACTATTGTTTGTGTTGACTATCAGATCCAAATGCTCACATAGTTTGGCTGGATAATGCGGATGCGAAATTGAAGGCCCTCCGTGACATTGAAGAAGGTATGGAGAAATGCAGTGATACCTTTATGGCTATACAGGAGTTCTGTTACACTGGCAACCTTGTGCACAGTTAAAACAAAAACTCTAACAAAATTGTTGTATTGAGTTGTTGCATCTGTTATAGGTGAGGAGCTGCGCATCTGCTACATCGATACTAGCCTAGATGCCGACGCTAGACAGAAGATTCTTGCTGATGGATTTGGCTTCAAGTGCCATTGCCTTCGGTGCTTGTCTGGAGACTAGAAATCATGTTTACTTTCTTCCTGAGCATGAGGAGATTGTCTTTGATTGAAGCAGCTTGAGGTTGGTGCTGAGTACCATCTTGCAGAATCTTACAGAGTTGCAATCTTCTGTACACTAGTTACAGCCACACCAATTGAATTCTTGTGGTTAAGCATTACTTTGGCTTTTGCACTTCCGACATGCTAGAAAGCCAGAAATGCTGATTTATTTACTTGAAAGTGCTGAAAGTTGTGTTGTAAATGTTGTAGCCGTTTTTGTCTTGCTTCTTTATCAGTCTTTAGTGTCAGAAATAAAATTTTGATAATACTCAGATCATTTGAATATCAAAAGATTTTGTAGCTATAGTTGGGGTAGCATTACATATTCATATACATACGCTAAAGCGAGGTAGTGTCATATGGAGCTGGGGTGCCTGGCCTGCATGTACACAAAAGAATTAGGAGCACTGGTGTGCATCAGAATTACTCGTTATAATATTACTAATAAAGCTAGGTGATTGAAGCTTTTGCTCTGCTGTATTTTTGTTGCAAACGGATTACGCATTGTGGATACAGAAGAGGCATGTGTATTGTTTTCTTTAAGATCCGATCTGGAATAGGTGATTGTATTTTCCAGCCAAGAACAAAATTGTTGTGGATCGTTTTGAATTGTTAAAACTTTTCTCTAGAGTATATCGGTGCTCGTAAAAAAAAAAACAGTGTGGAAGGCTACCCGAAACAATGAACCTTTTTTGGTTAATCTGTAGCTGGAAAGTGCTTGCTGAGGAAAAAAAATATAGTAGTAGTGATCTAAACTCTCGTGTAAAGATTTATCTCATTATACCTGCCATGTCTTTGGATGAAGAATGATTTAAGCCTAACTAGCAGTAATGATCTAACCCTTGTACTCACATTTATCTCATGAGTTGCCATGTCAATAGATGAAGATTTTAGCCAAGATAAGTTAATAACATATCACGTCTTTTTTGTTCTTGAATGGACAAATGTCGATAAACTGCGCAGCTGGAGGAGAAGGGCCAAAAATATTGATGAATCGAAGGATCCGACAGCATCTTGTTTTGCTGCAATAATGAGTTCGTTGCAAACATACACGGATCTGGATTTCACGTATGCTTCGAAAACACACTCCCGCGCGTCGTTTTAACCATCCTTTTTTGAGAATAGAAGTGGTGTGACTTCACCTAATCTCTCGGGATAAAAGTAAAAGTGATATTTAACTTTTGCACTCGAGTCTTCGTTTTACTTGCATTGCACTGATTCAGTCAGTACATTGCCAGACAATCTCTAGAATTTGTCAGCGCCCTTTCTGTTGTGGTATAGTAGTTGTTACCAAATATAATATGCCTGATATCTCAGTAGTCCATCCGTCCCTGAATAAATAGCGTACAGTTATAAGTCAAACTTTTTAAACTTTGATCGAATTTTTAGAATAATCTATCAAGATTTATGACATTAAATTAGTACCATTAGATATACCATAGAGTATATTTTCATAATGTCCTCATTTTATTTCTATAAAATTGGTCAAAACTTAAGATAGTTTGACTTGCACAGATTCTATGAATTAATTTATTTGAGGCCGGAGGGAGTAACATTTTTGTTGTTTGGCCCATGTATCGACACAAGAAAAATGTGTCTTGCAACCATTCTGCATACGCACCAGGCAGACGCAAGGAAATGCTACTCTATCTATCCGAGTTGAAAGCCTTGGATGATGGTGAGCAGTAGCGAGACTATGAGATCACTTGTGTAATTTATTTTTGATTAAGTCCACTTTTCACCCGCAACTATTGGGTTCGTCTAATTTTGACCTTCAACTACAAAGCCGTCTAATGCTGGTACCACAATTGTCAAAACCGTTCACTTTTAGCATCTGGACGCGGCTATGACTGTTTTGTCCAACGTGGGGTGGGTTTGACAACGCCACGCTGACGATGACCGCCACGTAGGACGTTGGCCTCCATCTAGTGACATGTAGGGCACACGCGTCAACCACCCATCCCCTCCCTCTCCATCCTCATGTTAACTGCCGCAGCTGCCAGAGCTGTCCCTTGCCAGAGAAATCTCGACGCCGACCCTTGCCTGCTATAGCTGTCGGAGCTACACCCTACGTGGCCTCCGCGCCCGTAGCCGTAGGAGGAGGCCGGCTGGCAAGCAGTTCCGGTCCGCGCAGTCCCGAGGCCGGCTACGGCTCGGTGGGAGGCGGGTCATGGCCTGCTGGCCATGTGCGCCGGCGTCCCGGCGACCACAACCGCGGCAGCGGAGAGGAGCCGAGGAGAGGTGCGCCGGGTGCGGGACGAAGAGGGCCCGGCTACCGCGTCCCGCCCGTGCGGCCACCGTGTCTCGCCCGCGTGGCCACAGCGCGGCGCCTCCTCCACCTTCCTGGAGGCGACGAGCTCAGGCTGGGCCTAGAGATGGCGCGAGCCTAGCAGACCCAGACGTCATCGAGGAGTCGCGGCACGCCACCAGCGAGAGGGCCACGATGAAGGCGAAGGTGGAACTCGATGACGTCAAGGAACGCCGCGCGGCAGCGCTCGCGGACCTGCGGGCGGCGCGAAAGGAGGCCGAGTCGCTGGAGAAGGCGTGCGCGCTCCGTGGCGGTGGCGCGGGAGTCGCTTGAGAAGGCGTGCGCGCTCCGCGGCCGAGGCCGGGCGTGGCGGTGGCGTGGGTGCGGGAGTCGCTGGAGAAGGAGCTGACCGACGCCAGAGCGCCGCCAGCGCCAAGCGGCTTGGCGTGGTCGTCGCGCAGCAACTCGGCGGCGGCAGCCCCTATCCTCGCTAGAGCTCCAAGCTACCATGGCCAAGCCGCTCGCGCGAGCTGAGGGAGAAGAGAGGCGCAGACGCACGGCTGAGGGAGAAGAGAAAGGCGCGGCGGCTGCGGTGTGGGAGCTAATTGACGGTAGAGCGCCGCCGGCGCCGAGCAGCTTGGCGTGGTCGTCGAGCAGCAACTCGGCGGCGGCAGCCCCTGTCCTCGTCGGAGCTCCAAGCCGCCATGGCCGAGCCGCTCGTTGTCACCACCTCGATTTCCCTCCTCTGTCGCTCGTCACTCGGCGCCGGCCATGGCACTGGCCATGGTGAGCTTGGTCTGGCGCAGGGAAGCGACTGTCGCCGTAGCCTGCTCGTGCGCCGCCGCAGCCTGTGTGGCAGAACCGCCCGAAATAACACACTTACGGAGGCGCTCGTCTTTCACTAGACACTAAGCGCACCGAGAGCGAGCTACATCGGGAGGATTCCGTCGGGCACACCCCAAGGGAGAGCCCGAATAATCCACATTTTTTCCGTAGGATCCAATAATGAGAACGAGTTTACATTGCTTAGTCCATTTCATACATCCAGAGTTCTTAAAAATTGTATTATCACATTACCAAATTCAGAGTGTGGAATATTAAACAACGGAATGAAAATAAACAGCAAGTAAACATCTATCGATAATAAGCAAAGATCCATCTGTGCCCACCAGAAGAATCCTTCACAAAATGGCTACGTCTGAAGCAGTACCTGCAACAGGGGTAAATAAACCCTGAGTACACAATGTACTCGCAAGACTTATCTGACTAGTGGGAATAATTTCCTGACTCCAAGGAATATGATAAGCTTTATGGTTTGCTGGTTTTTTTTTGCAGAAAGCAATACTAATAGTGAATCCTTATTTCTGTTATTATTAGCAGTCATTATTCATTCATTACCTAGCCATTCTATGTAAGCACATGTTCTACTTTCAAGCAAGAGTTAAGCAAACAGTTTTATTTCATCACCTTTCATCTTTCAGTTCTTACTACGATGCTAGAGTTTAGACAAGTCGTACCGACACGGCGACGATTCGCGAATCAATGTGCCCAGCTGGGTACCCTAAAACACACGCCCCGCTTGTACCCCAGGCACAAGCAGAACCAACTCACCACTCTCCTGTCAAGGGGTCCAGGTCCTCGTCCAAACTTGGACTCCAAGCCCTCGCTCCTGAGTCCCGTACTCAGTGCGGTGCTTAGACCTTCACCATCCCCGCCTCCAATCAGTCGGTTCGGATAGAGCCGGAACCCACGACAAGAGAGCAACAACCATTCCCTACGCCCATACCTAAGTATGTGCTCGGGATAATAAATTTGTGACTTGCCTAGTGTCTATTGCAACGGCCGGTCCTTCACCGACACAGATAGGGAAAAAGTGTAACCAAGCTATGCCCTGTTGGCCGTAGGACACAACCTCTTACACCCACCAATACTCAAACTATATCCCTGCCCGGTCTCTATTTTCCTTTCCACCATTTTATCATGAGTGATAATAATCACCTATTGTGAGTAACGACAGGTTACTCACGCTACCGAGATCCTGAGCATAGCAGCTACTCGACCTATACTAGTATGACTCATAGGTAGATATATTTATGCATGTAATTTCCATAAAATGCCTGTAACATAAATGCACATCATATATATCCAGTGATCATTCAAAATAAGGGTTATGCACCAGGGCTTGCCTTAGGCAGGTGGTGTGTCAACAAAGTCAGCACCTGATGCCTCCAGGGCTCCCTCCTAAACAAGAATCTCCTCCTCGTACTCTTCAATGATCTCCTCGAAGTCCTGTTCGTCCACAGGCACGAACTCTACCAACTCGTTATCTACATGCATGAAATGATGATGCAACATTTAGTAATATGGCAACAACAACTCTTAAAATACGAACACAACTATCAAGTCACTAAGCTAGTTCTACCGACTGAGGTGCTAAATTACCTATTGTTACCACTAACAAGTATGAAACATGGCATGCACTATCTTAGCAACTAAAGGCATTCTTACTCTTAATATCGATTTACTATATGTATACTAAAACAAGGAGTACTAGCTACTCTATTTATCAACCTACTCAAGGGCTACAAAAATTACAGTGAGCACATAATAATCTAATGAACCTACTGTAAAAAGTTCATGGCTAAAGCTATAACCAATTTGCCACAAAAATTCCTACAAATATTAAGCTAAATAATACTAAGCTCTCCTAAATG